GCCACATACACTGGGGCTGGCTGGTTCAATCTCAGTCCGGGCAGCTAAACAACAATGACAACTGCAACAAAAAGATAGCTGGGCACTGTGGCAGGTGCCTGTCGTCCCAGCTACTTGGGAGGCGGAGGCAAGAGAATCGCTTAAGCCCAAGAGTCGGAGGTTGCTGTGAGCTGTAATGCCACGGCACTCTACCCAGGGGGACAGCTTGAGGCTCTGTCTCAAAAAAAAAAAAAAAAAAAAAACTTTCAACTGAATCATTAATCAGCAAGTTTCATTGCTTTGAATATCACCACTCTATCTACTTCAATTTCATTGATGTATTTAGTTTTAGCTGCTTTGTTTCCATAGGAAACTGACTCTTTAAGTTTGGCCTCATCCTAAGGTTATCACAAAGTAGTGAAAAAAGCCTTGAATTGCAATTCAAGAGATCTGGATTCTAGTCTCAGCTGTACCACTAATTAACTGACTATAATTTTGTAGACAATGCTTACTATCTGTAGGACTTAATTTCATCATCAACAAAATAAGAGTATAGGACTAGATTTATAAAACAAATTTAATAGTTACGTGTTAGGCCTCAGTTAGCATTTCTAGGCTATTAGCATTTTAAAGAAATAAAAGAAGGCCTGACACAGTGCCTTGTCCTTGTAATCCAGCACTTCTAGATCTCTTCAGTTCAGGAGTTTGAAAACAGCCTGACCAAGTTGAGACTCCATCACTACTAAAAACAAAAAATCAGCCAGGCGTCGTAGCAGGCGCCTGTAGTCCCAGCTACTCAGGAGGCTGAGGCAGAATGATTGCCTGAACCCAGGAGTCAGCCCGGGGCAACAGAGTGAGACTCTGTCTCAAAAAAGGGGAGGAATACTATGCTAAATCATTAGTTTAAAAAAAAAAAAAAATCTATGGCTCGGCACCTATAGCTCAACCGGCTAAGGCGCCAGCCACGTACACCTAAGGTGGAGGGTTTGAATCCCCAGCCTGGACCCGCCAAACAACACTGACGGCTGCAACCAAAAAATAGCTGGGTGTTGTGGCGGGCGCCTGTGGTCCCAGCTACTTGGGAGGCGGAGGCAGGAGACTCGCTTGAGCCCAGGAGTTGGAGGTTGCTGTGAGCTGTAATGCCACGGCACTCTACCCAGGGGGACAGCTTGAGGCTCTGTCTCAAAAAAATAAATAAATAAATAAATAATCTATTTACCTAATTTCTACAAATTTATTCAACGTTCAATTTTTTTTTTTTTTTTTAGTTCTTATGAGCAGGAATACAGCTGACCAAGTCTCTGCCTTTAAGGAGCTTACAATAACATGGACAAAGATGATTCTGTAAACACCTAGTACATCTAATGGTGACAAATGCTATAAAGAAAAACAGAGTAAGTACTGTTGGGAGGAGTAGGGTTGCTAATTTATAAAGAATGACCATCAAGGAAGGCTTTACCAACAAGCTGAAAATTATGGAAGTGAGGGAATACCCCAAACATTCATTCATATGGGACAAAAGAGTTCTAGGAAGATGAGACAAGACTCAAAGGAGAGAGTGGGCTTGGGCTCGGCGCCTGTGGCTCAAGTGGCTAAGGCGCCAGCCACATACACCTAAGGTGGTGGGTTTGCATCCTCAGCCCGGCCCGCCAAACAACAATGATGGCTGCAACCAAAAAAAAAAAAACAAGAGAGTGGGCTTGGTGTGTCCAAGAAACGACAAGATGAGTAGCTGGGGGCACATAGCAAGAGATGAAATCAGAGTGGTACCAGAATGCAAAAAATTCATTTTATACTGAGATTTGATGGGAAGCCATTACATGATTGGAGCAGAGATATGACATGATCTGACTGAAGTTTCAACAGGACTACTCTGACTGTGGTGGTAACTAACCTACAGGGAGCAAATACTGAAGCAGGAAAGTCAGTTAGAAGGTCCTGCATTAGACCAGGAGACCTATCGTGGCTGACTGGGTGGGGGAAGAGGGTAGTAGGAGATAACAACATAACAGTTAGTCTTTATATATTTTGAAGGAAAAGCCCATAGGACCTGAGCTTGCTTATTTTTTAAGTACTGCAGATCAAATGGAATGACCCCACTTCTAATAAAAGTGAAACAAGACAAGATTTTTGCCTTCACACTGAAAAATAGGTATTGCTCTCTTTTAGATCTTTCTTTTGCTCCCTTTCTGCAGAAAGCCAGCTGCCATACTGTGGACACACTGAGGCACAATCCCATGGAGAGCCCACGTGGTGAGGAACTGAGGCCTCTTGGTAAAAGTCATGTAAGTAATTTACCTAGAAGTGGATCCTCCTGCCCCAGTTGAGGCTTCGGGTAACTGCAGCCCTGACCAACATCTTGCCTGAAAAACCCTAAGCTGGAACCACCTAGATAAGCCACTTCTCAATTTCAACTCACAGAAACTTTAAGATAATAAACATTGCAACAAATACTGGCATTAAACACATACTCAAGGGTATTTGTGCATACTGTCCTTTCTTCAGAACCCTAATGTGTCTTTGCTAAACAAACTGCCCACTCCTTTCCTCTGCTTGTAGCATAACCTAAGAGTGGTGGGAAGGTCAGTTTTCTGAAGGAAAAAAGTAATGTCAAAAGACTGCAAGAAGGCTTGGCACCCGTAGCTCAGTGGTTAGGGCGCTGGCCACATACACTGGGGCTGGCTGGTTCAATCTCAGTCCGGGACTGCTAAACAACAATGACAACTACAACAACAACAAACTAGCCAGGCATTGTGGCAGGAGCCTGTACTTTTAGCTACTTGGGAGGCTGAGGCAAGAGACAACCTTGAGCCCTAGAGTTAGAGGTTGAGGTTGCTGTGAGATGTGATGCCACAGCACTCTACTGAGGCATGACAAAGGAGACTCTGTCTCAAAAAAAAAAAAAATTGCAAGAAGACCTAAATCACAATCAAATCACTTGCCCAACTAAAAAAATCTGCAGTACCCTACTATTTCCTAGTCTTCCAAATGGAAAGTCCCCAGCTTTCTTTTTTTTTGAGACAGAGCCTCAAGCTGTCACCGTGGGTAGAGTGCCATGGCATCACAGCTCACAGCAACCTCCAACTCCTGGGCTCAAGTGAATCTCCTGTCTCAGACTCCCAAG